TTCATAGTGCTGTCGTACATATTGAAGAGCCAAATTGGAGTAACATCTTTCAAAACTGAATAACTTTTCTAAAATCATGCCAAGCGATCGGACTTTTTTCAAATAGTTCGATGAAATTTTCAGTATTCAGTTAATCTCATAAATTTTCAAAATATATTGTTTAAATTTTCATCACAAAATCAAGTAAGAAAAGGATTAAAAAACCATCTGCATATTTTTCTTAATGATTTCTATCAATTTCTATTTTTTCAAAATTTTCGATATACATCATTTAGGAAACTAATCCACCCAACTACTAAAAAAAATTAAAACTGTTTCGTTCGATTTTAAAACAATTATTTAGTTCTGGCTCAGTTTTGCTCTTTAATGTATTTACATTTACCATTTATTAACGAAGTGTCAGTTGACTAACATAAAGTGGCTAACTCCCGTAAGGGAATTGAAGACAGAATATCTGTATTGATTGCAGGACTACACAATAAAGAATCGGATTGCGGTTCTTCTAGCATGATGCCTTTCGATTATACGACGTATTCATCGAATATGGAAAACGAGGTGAAAAGAATGTTGCTCCCACAAGTAGAAACAGATAACAAGCGACACCAAGGAGCAATACCCAAACAAAGCCGTCCAATGCCAGCAGAGACTATACACGATAGTATTGCGACTACCGAACCAACCCGGCCGAAAATGAAACGAACGTTGGAATTCAACAAACTTGAGCAAACCTGTGGTTCGAACAACGAGTTAAGTACACTAAGTCTTGCATCCTTCTTGTTAACCACGTCATTGTCTTCGGATCCTGGTCAATCGGGCACAGTGTCCGCCTTAAGATTAAGTCGCAACTCAGAGACACGAACTGCCCGTAAAAGGCGCGGTCCATTGAATCCATGTTCAATCAGGCGGCAGCGTTTTTCGCGTGAGAGAAGTCGAGAGGACAACGTTGTACCGCTTACTGCTTTATATGGATTGATATCGAACGATTTGGTTACCCATCCTAATGACACCGTCGAGGCGACGGTGCCTTACTTACGGGACGAGAAAGTGCGCTGGCTCACTTACACCATCGACGACAAAAGAGGCGTTGCCACGGCTGCCCACGTTCCTCCCAATAACGAGAAATTGTTAAACACGTTACTACGTCAACAGCTTAATCAAAATTTACATTACGACGCCAATTGGGAATTACTGGATTCGCTGAGCAACAGTTATAGCAGTTTATCTTTGAATTCTCCCGACTTGAGTGTTATAATAGACACGCCTCCAGTTTTGTCCAGTCCAGAGAGCAATCAAACGAAGGCGCAGAACTCGTTATCATCGAATCCAGTAGAAACTTCGGAACGCGATCAATTCCATCAAAATAATGGGAATTCCATTCAATGCGGCGTCGAGGCTATGGATCGAGATCAATTTCATCAAGATATATTGACCCGAATTGAGTCGATGACGGAGAGGAATCAACGATTACGGAACATATTGGGATATTTTAATTTGAATATTTACCCGGCAGACTCGAATCGCCGTGCAAGATCCGCGTTAACATTGCAAACGTGTGCGGTTGGTGATATAAATACGAGTTTGTCTTGGAATCGACTTATCGGTAGTTTAGGCGGATCCGAATCCAAGCCTAAACAGTCAAGAGAAGATAAACAATATTATTACAAATGGAAAGTTGGAAAATTGCCGCATGTCAAAGTGCGATTCGATCGTTTATTTTTGTTGGCCTTGTTAGATCGAAACCTGACAATTTTTGAAACCATCGTTTCGACGTTCTTAGCTGTGGCTGTCGCAGGATTGGGCTTGACACTGCTCCATCAAGGATTCTACCGTGACATATTCGCGTTCATGTTTTGCTTCGTAACCGCCGGATGTCAATATTCATTATTAAAATCTGTGCAGCCCGATGCCGCCTCACCGACGCACGGGTTCAACCGTATTATAGTATTTTCACGACCCGTCTATTACATATTATGCTCAGGATTCATATTGATCTTCAACGAATCGTTAAGAAACTTTAAAGCGTCCGAGTTCCGAATATATGGCTTGCGAATTACTGATTACGATGTCATATTACAAATTCGTAACGTTTTATTAATTTTCCTTTTGTGCTTCCCTATTATTTTCTCGTTAGGCCTGCTGCCTCAAATCAATACTTTTCTAATGTATCTCTGCGAGCATATAGACATTCATCTATTTGGCGGGAACGCAACTACGAGTTTAGTGTCATCGATTTATTGCCTTTGCCGTAGCATCGTCACCGTTGTTATATTGTACGGGTTTGCTTATGGAGCGCTTACAGAGCCTAAATCCTCGCAGCATATTTTATTTTCCATTTTTGCCGGCTTATTAGTCGCCATATCGTATCATTTAAGTCGTTCGTCTTCGGATCCTACCGTGATATGGGATATAGTTAAAACAAATTTGTGGCCGCCGGAAATTTATACAGAAGAGAAGGAAGCGAAAATTATTGAGAACACGTCGCGAAGGGAAACTGTACCTACGACGTACAAAGAAGCGAAGATTCGAACTTGTGGGAGGAAGAAACATGTTAAGATCAAAGTTGGAGAACAGATGTCGGACACGGAATTGGTAGACCCGCTACCAGAGAAGTTGCGAGCAACGGTGAATGCAAGATTGAAGAACGACTTGATAGTCTGCGCAGTGATCGGTACTTTGTCTTTTGGAATTCATTGTTCGACTGTATTCACAGCTTTGCAACCGGAACTGAATCCGGTTTTATGGGGTATAGCAAGCTGCCTCGGATTTCTGTTACATTATATTGTACCGCAGCTCCGTAAACAATTACCCTGGCTGTGCTTATCAAGACCCGTGTTACGCAGCCACGAACACGCACAATTCGAAGTTTGCGAGCCAGTGAAAATTATGTGGTTTGAGAAAGCATACGTTTGTCTCTGTTTTGTGGAAAGGAATGTTCTCTATCCGGTTGTATTCCTGGGCGCGCTCACGGAATGCTCTTCGAAGATCGTTTCGAAATTCGGCGAAAGCATAGGAGCGTTGATCATAGTGGTATGCGGATTGAAGTCACTGAGATCTGCATACTCCGATCCGTCGACGCGTTACCTGGTCCTGATCTTCGCCGTTCTGTTTTTCAAGTTGGATGTCCGAGACCTCAGTGAAACGTTCCTGGTCGATTACTTCGTCACTGGAATTGCGTTCGCGAAAATTTACGAGTTACTATTGAAGATTAGATTCGTGGTCACGTATATCGCGCCGTGGCAGATTACTTGGGGCAGCGCGTTCCACGCATTTGCTCAGCCTTTCTCCGTGCCGCATTCCGCGATGCTGTTCTTGCAAGCAGGAATCTCGGCGATTTTAAGCACACCGCTGAATCCCTTTCTAGGCAGCGCGATATTTATATCGTCATACGTACGTCCAGTGAAGTTTTGGGAGCGAGACTATAAGACGAGAAGAGTGGATCACTCGAATACGCGGATGTCCTCGCACTTGGATCGAAATCTCGGAGCTGATGATAATAACTTGAATTCGATTTTCTACGAGCAATTGACGAGATCGCTACAGCACAGTCTTTATGGTGATCTCGCGCTTGGTCGATGGGGAAACGTGGAACAAGGCGATTGTTTTCTGTTGGCTTCCGATTACTTGAACTGCCTGGTACACATCGTTCAGTTGGGAAACGGATTAGTTACCTTTCAGCTGAGAGGTCTGGAATTTAGAGGAACCTACTGCCAGCAACGAGAAGTATGTTTGCAAGCTTTGATTGCAATTTATTGATGATGTATGTGCATGTTTAAAGACTCGCTATGATTTTTAGGTAGAAGCGATCTCCGAAGGCATCGAAGACAATGGTAACTGTTGCTGTTGCGAAACGGGACATTTTTCAAACGTTTTAAGCGTAAACGCGGCTTTTAGTCAACGATGGCTGGCTTGGGAAGTTGCGAGCGCTAAATACGTTTTAGAGGGATACTCGATCTCAGATAATTCTGCGGTCTCTATGCTTCAAGTATTCGAATTTCGTAAAGTACTTGTTACTTATTACGTGAAGAGCATCGTCTTTTATGCTGTAAAGTCGCCGAAGTTGAAGTATTGGCTAGAGAAGACCGATATTTTGGATGCACTGAAAATAACGCTTGACAAGAACTTCGTTGACCTGGATCCCGTTTTTAATTTGAGCATCCACGAAGATTACGACATACGCGCGTGTGGTATCACAAGAAGCAGTTTCTGTAACATTTATTTAGACTGGATTCAATATTGCGCTACTAAGCACGATAAGGTAATTTTCTGTACTATAGAGCAAACAGCAAAACTGAATCAGTATCTTTTAAAACAGACTAACTTTTCAAATCGCACGAGACGATCTAAATATTTTTGAATAGTTAGGTGGATTATTATTATTATTTAAACATCAAGTTAAATTTAAACATAAAGAATGAGATAGAAAGAAATAAATGTCAAAATTACAATAAAAAGGAGGAACGTCGTGAAATAGAGTAATTATGGACGAAACATTCCGTTGACCTTCCGCAGACAGAAACGATCTAAGTCGTTGCAAAATCGATTGACGGTTTAATGATTGGAATGTAGATGACGGGTAGCAAAAATCGAGAATCATTCGTTTCTATTAAAAGATAGTAACACGAAAACCTAAATTTAATTGAATTTTCTCAAGTTTGCATGACCTGTGAGACTGTTCCAAGACACGCGTCGAATATTTCTGAACGCGTTAAGTCATGTCAAGAGAATTTGATCTCGTATAACCGCGACAGAACTCCTTCATGTCGAACAATAAAACGCAGAGACCCGCGTTTATTGCGTTACTTTAACGAGGATCTACGCGTTTCATCTGGATGAAAGGCGAACGGTCGGAATGAAGCGCCAAGTAATTAGAATTTCGGTGAATTTTTTGTGGTCAGCTAATGGGGCCGGCGAATTTAGGGAACCCTCTTTTTTTATGGAGCTGGAAGTTGCGGGGGAGAATGCATGCACTAACACGATTGTTAAACTGTTTCGACAAGAATTAGTGTATACCATTTACGAAATTTCGAAGAACGGAGAGCTGCAATAAAAGTATCCAAGCCATAAGAGTTATACTTAAGAGTCGATTCCCAATTTAAATGATATCGCGAATAAATTCTTCGCCATTACACGGATTCCCTTTCCATCCTCGGCTCAACTTCATCCCACTGTCAGTTCGGTTCGTTCTACTTCAAGCCCGACGAATCGAGAAAATAGCGAAACTGCCGCCATAACTGGGCATGGAGCTGGGCATCAGTTGATGCTGATACACACCGATTTCTGGTAACGCGATATGCAATCTCGAATACTACATATTATTACCTATCGATTCGATGATTGTGTTCCGTTGTTCACGTTTCCTCCCGTTTACTCTCGCCCCTTTTTGCCGATACCGAGTCGTTTATATTTTCCAGCGGCAGGTTTTTATCCAACAATAGCCCTTAATATTCCAATCGAAAAGAGTTTAAGCATACTGCTCGGGTTTTAATGATTTGCGCGCACCAGCACAGAAGTTGGAGTAGTATTGGCGATGGAATAAATTTAATACCCTCGTATCATCCTACGCTTTGACGGACTGATCGATTATGCGACTGGGTTCCTGCTGGATCATTGTTGTTAGAGATTCGTGATTAAAAAAGAAGGTTCTGCATGAGTTACATGCACTTCTAGAAACTTCGCAATTTATTCCTGGAGGATTGACGGTATCGTCAATCGCTGGAATTCGATGTTCCGGGAATTCGGAATATCAAACATAAGAAATGCGAAGACAAGAGTTAATCTCTTAAGCCGCTAGCCGCTCGGTCGACTCGTAAGAGTCCCGAGCGAAGAAATACAAATATGCGGCACGCACAGGAACAGAGATTTCTAAATACCGCTATTATATTGATCGTCATCGGAATTCGGCCATACGATCTAATAGCGAAAGAATTACGTAATAGCGCGAGACAATTCCATTTCAAGGAAAAGGACGGACTGTTCCATCATTTGCGCAGTCGCGAATAATCGTGGTCGAACAATTGTGATTGCCGATGGATTTTCATTCCGAACTGGATCGTCGAAGAGTGTGCTCCTCTTCGCAGCCATCGATCAAGATTCGATACGCGTGGAAACAGAATTTACCTGTACAGCGATCGAATAACTTTTAGGAGTTGATTTAAGACAGACGTACTCTCAGTCTTAAATATTGTTGAGATCAGCGAGTCTGAGCTTTTCAGTCCGCTGTGCGGCCGATTGTAGAAATTGCAATCTGCATCGGCGTACAGTCGAGTTCGACATACTCGCCTCTCGCAATTGAACGGTTTGAGTTCAGTGCGATCGAGTTAGGGGGCTTTTATCGA